GAATCAGTGTCTTTCACCTGCTTTTCCCCGACCCATCCTCACTGACCCTTTAAGGTTCAGCTCAGGTGTCCCCTCATTCTTGACTTCTCCCCACCCCACTCATGTCCATGCTCCAACTGGGAACCGACACTCAGGTTTCTTAGAGACCATCAAAGGAGCAATGAAGCCTGTGGTGAGCCTGTTTTGGTTTTTCTGAGTATTGCAGCTTCCTAGGATCTCTCACTGAAGAAATTTTAAGAAGGAGGAATAATAGCATGGAAGTGATTAAGCCTTTAAAGTGTACCCTTTGTTCCCAAGGTCCTGTTAATTACCGTTTAAGAAAGGTTTATTTGCAATGTATTCAATTACTTAGGTAACTAAATAGCTTTTTACTGATCAGGTAGAGCAGTATTTGCTTAATAGCCACAAACTCTGGGGCCCAGTTCCATTGATGGTCTACTCCCAGATCTGGGCTTATTTCAGACTGAGCTCCAGGGGAAAAAAGAAATTTTACTGGAGGACATTATAATTGTTAATATAATCACTTAGATTTGAGGAACATAAGTTTAGGGATTTTCCCCATTATTCTTTAGTTAAAGAATAAGTACAACAAAAAAGAAGATCCAAGGAACTCCAATGGCCATTCCACTCATCCTTCCAGTCGATTCCTGCCAAGAAATGCTTCCTGAGATTTCAGGTCCCAACTCAGAATTCTGAAGACCCTGCTCAAATCTGACCTCCTCCGCACTTCTCTGACTCCCCAAGACTGCTACAAGATTTCCCTAATCTCTGATATTTTTGTTGTAGTGCCCATGTGCTTGCCAGTGGTCTAATTGTTATCTACAGAAACACAAAAAGGAAGAGACAGATGGGCATAAGAGTGGGAGGGCCAAATACCTTTAGTCGTAGCCTCTACTGTGTGAATGGTCAAGGGAAGCTCCTGGAAAAGGGGACATGTCAGCTAGATATTCAAAGGTAAATAAGAATTCAACAGACTGATACCTGGAGTGAGGCAATTTCAAGAAGAGGGAATGCATATCTGAAAACACGAATGTATGATCACCGTGGTCTTCAATATAAAAATGTCACGTGGGTATCTGGCAAGAGGTAGGCAAGGTCAGATTGTGGAAGGTCTTCATGCTAAGCTGGAAGCTTATCCTGTTTATAGTGAAGATCCAGAAAAGGAAGACTTACCATCACAGTTCTCTAAAGGAATAAAGGCAAATTCTATGGATGGAGTGGTCCTATAAATAGAGGGGGGCAAGAGAAGAATCAGGGCAGCCAGGAAAAGGAATGAGGGGATGGGAGGAAGAATCATGCCTATATCCTGGTCTGCGGAATATATGAGAACAGAAAGAACCAGAATTAGAAAGGGAGAAAAGAGAAGGAAAGAAAAACACACAGGTACTGTGGTGAAGACTGTGGACACAGACATCCAAGTCCGGGTTAAAAGCCTGCCTTTACCTCTAACTTGTTATAAGATCTTAGAAAAGATTCTAATCACACTTAGTTACCCATCTAGAAAATGGGGAACTTACCTCATAGTTTTTGGTTAGATTAAAAAATCTTAAGATACTTTAAATACTTAAAATATTAACAAGGATATAATGACTGCTTAGTAACATTCCTTAAGACCAGCTCAGTTGTACAGAAACCTGGATTAAGAGTAATAATTGTCCTTTGAACAACAAAGTCAACTCTAGTTATATAAGATGTCACCATGTCAGAAGGAAAGCTGGGTGACCGGTACGTGAAAACTCTATGCTATTTCTGCAACTTCTCGTGAGTCTTTAATTATCTCTAAATAAAAGCTTAATTTTTACAAAGCCATAAATGCCTTTTCCAAACCTTAGTGACAATTTATTTGATAAATGTGCTTTGAGCACCTATACCTGCCCTACCTGCCCCGGACGCTGGCCTCCTTTCTCTCCTCATTCTCCAGGGTCCACAGAAGTAGTTAACCAAGTGACAGTGTCATTTTCAGTTTTCATTACGTCTTACTTCTCTTTAACAGAAACACAGCAATAAAAATAAACTATTGGAAATGGAATTACGAGTGGCCTACTGCAAAACTGAAGTTTCTTTTGTTGTTTAGCTGTTCCGCTTTCTGAGAGCCTGAATCCAACCAAACACATAACCCTTTACTTCTGACTGAGGTTCTGCCCACTCCTCTGTCTGAGTAGAGTTGCACGGAAATAGAATCCTCTCCCATAACAGCTAGCAGTGTTTCTCGACAAAGGCAGGATTCAAATTTTGATCTGAACAATTTATTAGAGGGTACAGTTCATATGTCATCCAGGACAGAGTTGCCACTTGCCTTGTCTTCGTGCAGCCTGAAGCCAGGGTGCACGTCTTCATGACAAGAATAAAGACTCAGTTTCAGCCCCTATCACCCTCCCACCGCAGAAGGACAGGGCACCCGAGAGCCTGAATAATCTGCACAACTCTTCACTGAGGGTCTGCTGCAGTATGCCCAGCATCCCTAGCCCCATTCACTCATTACTGCCGTCAATCATAACTTGAGAAGTAAACTGCCTGTCTTCTACCCATACTCTTCTCTTTCTTCATTGTATAAACCCAGCTCTACCACCATCTGCTGATCACAGCCACTGACTTTGGCCACAGTGGTGACTTCTCTTCTCAACTGCTAGTCCCTGGACAAAGGAGTCCTTGTGGCAGTCATCACTTTTAGCTCAAAGGGACCCTTGCTATGTCCCTTGGCAGGTTTGTACTTCCTTTTGGAACCAGGCCCTCCAGCCTGCAGAGCAGAGAGGTGCACAAAGTGTCCCAGGGCTCCTTTGGGAGTGATGTTTAGTGAGGCCATTCCTGTCTCTACCCCTTGGTTCTCAGATGTCTGTCTACCTCCTATTAGTGAACACAGCACCATAAAGGAAGCTCTGATTTTATGCATATGCAGCATTTTGAAGGATGGCATTCCATCCTTTCAGAGTGCCATTAAGTTGGCCCCTTATCTGTGCCTTTAGTAGTCCATCCCAGTGCTCCAAGAAGATAGCGGCTCCTGGGTGGTACACTATGTGATATAAACAGAGGATTCTACGATCAGTGGTTCAAGCCTATATCCCCTTCACTAGGACGTGGGTTTCCTGATCAGATATTATGTTGTGTGGCATTCCATTCCAGTTGAGCAATCAGAAATCCTCTAGAGATTAGTGAATGGTGTTGACTACAACTCAGAGGTCAGGGAAGGCAAGTTCATACCCAAAATAGGTATACACCGGGAAGATGGATAGCTGGCCTTTGCAGTATTGAAGGACCCAGTGCAGTCAACTTTTCACAAGGTAGCGAGTTGGTCTTAAGAAATAGTGTTATATTGGGGCTCAGTGTTGGTCTCCATTGTTGGTAATTCTAAGACAGTCAAATAAAACAATAGCTAGATTGACCATAATAAGGGGTAATTCATCATGTTGTCCAAATGAGTAGTCTTACTGTCTGCCACTATTATGAGGAGCCCAATATGGAGTTATTCCAACTGCCGAGTATGTCAATACAAATTAAATACCCAGGGACTGGGGAAATGAACAATGAAAGGTCTGCAGATCTAGCGAACCATTCTACTTCAACTAGAATTCTATTTGTTACCTGGTCCTATAAGATTCCACTCTTGTAGTGGGGCCATAATGACATTTCAGGTAGCCAAGTATCATGTCAACATAGACCCTGTGTCTAATAGTCCTCAAAATGTCTGTATATTCTTCTTTCCCCAGTGTACTGTCACTCAAATAAATGACCATAGGTCCCTTTGGGGAAGGACTAGGAGAACTATTACAGTGTATACTTACTATAGTTCTACAAGACCTGGCTCTATGACCACCTCTCCTACCATCCACTCTGGCTTACAGTAGGAAGCCACCATGAGCATCTTTGTCATGCTGGTGTTCCTCTCACCAGGACATTCTTCATGAATGATGTGTCTTCTGAGCCCTCCATGGAATATAATTCCCTGGTGGGTCTTCTGGCTTCACATAATATATCCATTACAACATGCCCACTTCCTTTGGTCTTTTTATTCCTTTTTTCCACTGTCTGTCAGGGCAACTCAGCCATTTCCTTGCCTAAGAAGGACCAACACTTCCTCCAGACTTCTAAGAGCCACCCTATGAATGAGTTTGCCTTGTCTCTTGGGTCCTTGACAGAGTGTTATAGCCCATGTTCTAAGAAAGTGACCCTAAGTCAATGAATTCTTATTTTTCCTGTTTTAAGTCCCAGCCCTATCCAATAATCAGCAGAGAATCTCTCCAGCACTGTTTTGAGAAAGATTCTGAATCACATGATCAATTAGTGATATCAGTCATGGAAGGGTGAGAGGGAACTTCAAGACATATAGTATATTTTACCATTTCTGATGTAGACATCTGCACAATGTACAATCTGTAACTATAGAAATGAGTAAAGATAACCACAGGAGCATAAAATCTCTGACCTTGGTCTCAAATCTTGGCCTCAGTTCCTCTGTAGTTTAACCAACTAAGTTGATTAAACTGATAGATCACGCACTTGACTTTTTCCAGGGACAGACGTTGAAAGGGGAAAGGAGAAGAAAGAAAAGGAAACTGGGGTGGAGGTGGAGGGAAGTTGTTGATGGTAGAGAGGTAATAAGAGGTCCACATTGTAAAATAACGATACAAAAAGGGGAATTTTGAGGGTTTTCTTGAAGATAAATATTTTCCTTTGCTCAGTTTTGCCCTTATTGATCCTCACACAGTCCTTGTTTGGATAGGGATCTAAACCCCCTTAAAATTCCTCTTCTGTGACTTAAAATGTCAACTGTATGATTACCAAAATCATTTTAGTCATTACCAAAATCCTCCCAAGGTGGCTCTATCTGAGTGGTAAGAAGCTCCAATAATAAAAGTCAATGGACTCCTGCCTTGGCTTACTTTTCCTTAATGGTCACCTGATAAATCAGGGGGAAAAAAAATCTCCGCAGGAATCCATTTCTACTGTGGCAGGCCTGGAAATTCAAAAGATACTAAAATTAACCACTTGTGTGTTTTTGTTAGACTCTTTCACAGGTCTGATTAACATCTTGACAGACATCATTTGGCGATTCACTGAAGACTTTCTGGCACCTGATCTCCTTCGCCAAGTGGTCCGCTATTTGCAGGTATGTCGCACCTTACAAATGTGATGAGACAAACTGACACCAAAACTAGGTCTTGGATTCTTCATAAGGAAAGTAATATAGAACCCAGCCCTTTACACAACAAACTGCTCGCTTCCTTCTAGTTGGAAGGACAAGCATAATTTGTAAGATTTTTTAATTTGTTTTTTTGCTAAAATAATAAATATATAAATAAAACAAAAATAACATTAGTAAGAATATAAATGTTCACATTTCAAACATTAAGTAAAATTTTGGGGTCATTGTGAAGGCCTTTGACCTACTCTGGCTGTCTTGGTCCATTCAGGCTGCTGTAACAAAAATATCACAGAGAAGGTGGCTTAGAAACAACAAACATTTATTTCTCACAGTTCTGGAGGCTGGAAGTTCCAGAACAGCGTGCCAGAAATTGTCAGATGGAGGGCTTTCTTCCCGGTTGTAGACCTCAAATTATACCCTCTCATGGCAGAAGGAGCTGGGGAGCTCTGTCAGGCCTCTTTTATAAGGGCACTAATCTCATTCATGAGGGCTCCACTCTCATAACTTAAATCACCTCCCAAAGACCTCACCTTCTAACACCATCACATTGAGCATTAGGATTCCAACATGTGAATTTTGGTGGGATACAAATATTCAGAGCATATATATAGCACTGTCTAAACAATCTCCAGGAAATTTGTCAATTCTTTTTTTTTTTTTTTGCCTTTCCCCCACCCCCCCGAAACTAACACAACACTGGCTACTGTTCTTTTTGAAAAACGTTGACAGATCGTTAGAAAATAGGTATTATCTCTGATTGTTTTAACTTGTATTTCTTGTATTACCACCTAAAATTGGACTTTTAAAAATATCTACTGGTATTTGAATTTCTTCTTCTTTAAATTGCCTATTATCCTTTTTCAATTTTTTTTTATAACTGGGATACTTGTTTTGTTCTCAGTAATTGTTAATATCTATTTTTAGATTAAAGACATTTACACTTTGCCTGTTGAATATGCTTTGATGTAAAAATTATAAATGGAAATATATATACATATATATGTAAAATATATGGTGTAAAATATTACATATGTACCATATACATATATTGTATTATTAATACCTTATATATGTATATAATATGGATTAAGGTACATCAACTAAGTATAGAAAGAATGAACTGTTGTATAACTGGTGTTAGGATTGATGTGCTGTTTCTGAGCTCTTAAAATTATTTTCCATTAATATATTTCTATTCTTATGCCCATACTCCAGGTCTAAATTATTGTAGTTCTATAGATGCACAATGCAATTTTGGAAAACCTTATCCTACAAGATTCCATTTGTTAGTAGAGTTTTATAGAATCTTTGCATCTATATTCATCTATGATTTTCATTTGTTCTATCATTTTCAGACCTTGAAAGTAGAGTGACTCCATCTTCAGAAAATGGGTAGAGAAGAGTTAAAATTAAAAATCTTTTGTGCTCTGAACATAATCTTGAAAGTTTAGTCGATGTGAAAGAGCCCTGATTAGTATCTGGAACTGGTATTTTCTCAGGGTAATTTTTTAAAATTTATTTTAATTTCTTATTAAAAATTTTGCTTCCTTTTAGAAAAATGTTATCAATTACTTATTCTAGCAATTGCTGAGAAATAAATTATGCCAGTACTTAGAAGCGGGGATATGGTGGAACTAAATAGCTATCAGTTGAAGTAAACTAAACTATCAATCAAATCGACCTAATTGGCATTTATAGAACACTTCATCCAACAAAGCAGAATACTCATTCTTATCAAATTCACAGGGAACATTCACCAAGAGAAATTACATACTGGACCATAAAACACACCTTAACAATGTAAAAGAGTGGAAATAGCACAAATTATGCTCTCAGACCAAACTAGAATTAAACTAAAAATGTAAAACAGAAGGCTAGCTGTCCAATCTCAATGTTTTTGGAGATTAAACAACACATTTCTAAGTAACACGTGGGTCGAAGAAAAAAATGAAAAAGTAATTTATCATAATTTGTAGGACATTAAAAACAGTGCTTTTGGAGAAACATAGCATTTAAATTCTTGTATTAGAAAATAAAAAAGATCTAAAATTAATCATCTAACCTTCCACCTTAGGAAACTAGGGAAAGCAGACCAATGTAAACCTAAAGCAAGCAGAATGTCTTAAATGATAAAAATTAGGACAAATCACTAAAATGAAAACAGTAATTCATTAGTGAAAATCAATGAAACTGTAAACTGGTTCTTCAAAGAGATAATAAAATTGATAAACTTCTTGCCAGGCTAAACAAGAAAAGAAGAGGATGACACAAATTGCCAATATCAAAAATGAAAGAGGGGTCATTATTACTGATCCCATGAATATTAAATGAATAATAAAGGGATATTATAAACTATATTCCTATAAGTTTGATAACCTTACTTGAAATGGACCAAATCCTTGAAAGAAACAATCTGACAAAACTCACACAATGAAAAATAGATGCTCTGAATAGACCTATATCTATTAAACAGATTGAATTAATAATTCATAATCTAAGAAAGAAAGCACCAGGCCCAGATGGGTTTACTGGTGAATTCTACCAAATATTTAAGGAAGAAATTATACTAATAAGTTTCTTTTTTTTAAGATTTTACTTATTTCTGAGAGAGAGAATGAGAGAGCGCATGAATGAGGGGAGGGGCAAAGGGAGAGAGAGAGAAACAGACTCCCTGCTGAGTAGAAAGCCTGATATGGGGCTCGATCCTAGGAACTCAGGGTCATGACCTGAGCCAAAGGAAGATGCATAACCTACTGTGGCACCCAGGTGCCCCTACTAATAAGTTTCTAATTTTTCTAAAACATAGAAGCAGAGGGAACATTTCCTAAGTCATGCTGTGAGTCCAACATTATCCCAACACCAAAACCAGACAAAGGCATTACAGGAAAGGAAAACTATAGACCAATATCTCTCATGAACATAGATGCAAAAATTATCAACAAATATTAGTAAATTGAACCAAAATACTTATAAAAAAATTACATACCATGACCAAGTGGAATTCATTCCAGGTATGCAAGGCTGATTCAACATTCAAAATTCAAAGTAATCCATTAAATCAAAAATGTAAAGAAGAAAATTTATATGATCATTTCAATAGATACAGAAAAAGCATTTGATAAAATCCAATATCCATTTATGTTAAAAAGTCTCAATAAACTTTTCATAGAGGGAAATTTCCTCATCTTGGTAAAGAACATCTACAAAAAGCTGTCGCTAACCTCATACTTAATGGTGAGAGACTGAATGCTTCTTTCCTAAGATTGGGAACAAGGCAAGGATATTCCCTCTCACTACTCCTATTCAGCATCATACTGGAAGTCCCAACTAACTGAGCAGGACAAAACAAGGAAATAAAATGTATACAGATTGGGAAAGAGGAAAGATCTTTGTTCTCAGATGACAAGCTTATCTATGTAGGCAATCAGAAAGAATAGACACAAAAACCAAAAAAATACAAAACACAGAAAATCTGTGGGCTTATTAAGTGAAAATAAAAATAATGAGGTTGAAGAATACAATTGTGCTTTTATATTCTAGCAATGAACAATTTGAATTTAAAATTAAAAATGCAATAACCATTTATGTTGGCATGAAAAATATGAAAGACTTAGGTATAAACCTAGCAAAATATGTGCAAGATCAGTGTGAAGAAAACGTCATTGAAAGAAATCAAAGAATATCTAAATAAATAGACAGATATTCTATGTTCACAGATAGGAAGATGGACTATTGTTAAAATGTCAGTTCTGCTCAAAGCAACTTATAAATTCAAAGCAATCTCAATCAAAATCCCACCAAGTTATTTTATAGATATAGACAAACTCTAAATTTTATGTGGACAGGCAAAAGACACAGAATAGCCAATACAACACTGAAGAACACAGTTGGATGAGAGATACCATGTGATTTCCAGACTTAACTATAAAGCTACAGCTAAATCAAGACAGCATATTGGCAAAAGAATCAACAAATAGATCAGTGAAACTGAGTAGAGACCCAGAAAGAAATGCACACTAAAAGTCAACTGATCTTTGACAAAGGAGCAAAGATAATTCAATGGAGAAAAGATAGCCTCTCCAAGAAATACTGCTGGAGTCACTGGTATCCACATAAAATAATAATAATGATGATCTGACTAAAGACCTCACACCTTTCACAAAAACTAACTCAGTATGGATCATAGACTTGAATGAAATATGCAAAGCTATAAAACTACTAGAAGATAACATAGGAGAGAATCAGGGACTTTGGGTTTCTCAATGACTTTTTAGATATAACATCAAAAGCACAATCCATGAAAGAAAAAAATGAAAAGTTGGATTTTATGAAAATTTAAAACTTCTCTGCATAAGACACTGTTAAGAGACAGAAAAGACAAGGCACAGAATGGGAAAAAATGTTTGCAAAACACATACTTGATAAAAGATTTTTATCCAAAATATACAAGGAGCTCTTAAAATTCAACCCACTTAAAAATGAGCAAAAGATCTGAACAGACACTTTTCCAAAGAAGATAGAAAGATAAACAAGCATATGAAAAGAAGCTCACCATTATATGGCATTAGGGAATTGCAAATTAGAACGAGACAGCACTAACATACCTATTAGAATGACTACAATCCAAAAAACTGATGATATGAAATGCTAGTGCTGTTTGTAGGAGTGCAAAATGGTACAGCCATTTTGGAAGATATTTTGGCAGTTTCTTATAAAATTGAACATACCCTTATCATACAATATAGCAATTATACTCCTAGGTATATAACCAGTTGAGCTGACAACTTACATTTACACAAAAACTTGCACAAGAATGTTTATAGTAATTTTATTCAGAATTGTCAAAAATTAGAAACAGGATGTTCCTCAAAATCTGAATGGATTAAAAACAAAGCAAAACAAAAAAAAAGAACCTTGGTACTTCCATGTCATGGAATATTATTCAGCAATAAAACAACATGAGCTGTGTAGCCAGGAAAAGTCACAGAGGAATCTTACATGCATTTTGCTAAGTTAAAGAAGTCAGTCTGAAAAGGCTACATGAGTATGATTACAACTATTTGATGTTCTGGAAAAGGGAAAGGATGAAGACAGTAAAAAAATCAGTGGTTGCTAGGGATTTGGAAGGATTGAATAGGTAAAGCACAGAGGATTTTTAGAATAGTGAAACTTTTCTGTATGAATGGTGGATACATGACATTATGCATTTGTCAAAAACCCATAGAATTTTACAACAAAGAGTAAAGCTTCGTGTAAAACTTTAGTAATAATGTGTTGATATTGGTTCATCAGTTTTAACAAATGAACCACACTAAACAAGGACGTTAATAATAGTGAAAAGTGGGGGGTAGGGGGTGGGACCTCTCTGTACTATCTGCTCGATTTTTTCTCTAAATCTAAAATTGTTCTAAAAAATAAAGTATATTAATTTTTAAAGTCAATACAGGGATCCTCCTTTACATGGATCCAATCTGGTATTTTTCTAAATAAAAATTTCCTAAGTTTGCTACATTCAAGTCTCACTTCTCTGCAAGATTTTCCTTAGTTTTATATTTCCTAGGTCATTTTTGTCAGAATTGAGGGGTGGGGTAGTGAGAATTCAGACATATGTCCTCAAGCTGCCATCTGTTCTCCAAATGGTACCCCATATGTTGTTGATGTGTAGAATTTTCATTGTTGACATTTATGAATTGACTATAATTGTACTTTGATTTCCTTCTTGACTCAAGTTAATTACAAGGGTGTTTAAATTTCCAAGTGGTATTTTAAAAAAATAACATGATACTAATTTCAGCTTTTATTGCTTGTTGTTTTAAATATGCAAATTATATAAGTTGTATAATTTTTGGAATCTATTGAGGGATTTTTTTCTTTCTTGGTAGTTTAGTTTAGGACCAGTTTTGAAATGTTGCCTAGATATTTTACAGTAATGTGTATTATTTTAAAGTGTGTTTAATTTTTTCTATCTATGTATTATTGTGTTTTATCCTTTGTAAATCTTTGAACACTTTAGTTATACATATTTAATATTATGTTGCTTGTCACATATAAGTTCATTAATATTCCATCACCGTTTTGTATTGCATATATTTTTTTAAGATTTTATTTATTTATTTGACAGAGAGAAACACAGTGAGAGAGGGAACACAAGCAAGGGGTGTGGGAGAGGGAGAAGCAGGCTTCCCTCTGGGCAGGGAGCCCAATGCAGGGCTCCATCCCAGGACCCTGGGATCATGACCTGAGCCTAAGGCAGACGCTTAACTACTGAGCCACCCAGGCGCCCCTGTATTGTATTTTTCATCAATAAAAAGAATCCCTTTGTCTCATGTAGTGCAATTTGCTTTGAATTTAATTTATCTAGCAGTAATATTGTAATAGATGCCTTCTTTTGGTTTTAGTTGTTCGGTGTGTCCTTGGCCATCACTCTATTTTTAAACTTTGATAATCATTTGGTTTTAGAGGTTTGTTTTCAACACAGTATGCAGTTAGACTTGGGGAAGGGTTTTGTACATAGTCTTTGTTTTAGTCAAGGAGCTTAAGCCATTTATATTTATTGAGACAAATAGTGTTTGGTGTTATTTAAGTCACCTCATTTTAATCTTTTTGGTTAATTTTTTTCCTATTTATGTGTTTTTTCCTTTCTATTTGGTTATTAGTTGTGATAGGCTGAAAAATGCCCCCCAAATCCAAATCCTAATCCCTGAAATTTATGTATATTACCTTATATGGCAAAAAGGGACTTTACAGATGTAATTAAGTTAAAGATCTTGAAATGGGGAGATTATTAGATATTATCTTAATAAGTCTAAATGTAATCATATGTATCCTTTATAAAAGGGAGGCAGAGGGAGATTTGACAGACGGAAGAGGCATTGTAACCATAGACCTAAGATGGGATGGGTGTGACCACAAATCAAAAAATGCTGGCAGTCACCTGAAGCTGAAAGAGGAACGGGAAGGAATCCCCCCTAGAGCCTGTGGAGGGAGGGTGGCCTTGACAACACCTTGATGTTGACCTAGTATAACTGATTTTGGACTTCTGGTCTCTAGAAATGTAAGAGAATAAATTTATGTTGGTTTAAACCACAAAGTTTGTTACAATTACCATAAGAAGCTAATAAATTATTTTTTCTCCATTTTTATTTCACTATCATAGCTTTTCTTTAATTTTTAAATTTAATATGTCTCTATCAAAGTAAAAAACAAAAGAAATGCCTAAAATGTCCAAATGGAAATATATGACATGATGTCTTTCCTTATACTCTCTCCACTCACTCAACTCCCCAGATTTTTCCCTGGAATGTTTCCTAACTATATTCATAGTTATTTTGTAAACATGTTGTGGGGTTTTTTTGGACTCATTGCTTATCATAGCTGTTATTATTCAATCCTGTCCCTCTTCTAGAGTTCTTAATTTTGAAACAATGCACAATCAGCAGAAATATTTCCTCACGGAAGATTTTCAGGAGATTATGTGATGTTATGCTTTCTTCTTTCTTATACATCTAAGAAAAATCATTCTGTGCCTTGGCACAGAAATGATATTTACAAAATTCTTGGATCATAATTTTTCTTTCAAAACTCTGAACATGTTTTTATGCTGTTTTCTGGCATTTTATTTTTGTAAAAAAGAGGCATGACAATCTGAAATGCATTTCTTTTATGTAACCTTTAATTTTTTTTTACCCTGCCTAGATGTTTGAAGACCCTTGAAATTAACTACTGTTTTTGACTGTGTCTCAGAATACGTCTCTTTCTGTTAATGTTGCTTGCTCTTCCAGGCACTCTTTTTTGTACTTTCCTCTTGCTCCAAATTCTGAACTTGTGTCGGCCACCTCACTCAACACAGCAAAAGATGGCTGAGATTATTGTGATCTTCTTACCATGACTTTCCATCCCACAGAGTTCTGCCCTTGGGAGATTTCTTTCCCATCCTCCTTGAATGCCACCTCCTGAGCTGTGTGTGGTCAGCTGTAGTAATTCTGAATTCTTGGATCACACATAGAAATCCCAGTTTCCTCTAAGAAGACAGTTGTCTAATTTTTTTTTAGTTAAACTTGGACATCCATATAGCACCTTTTTAGCAAGAGGAGAATCTCTTCTTATATCCCTCAGGAGAACCTTCAGTCTCTAATCAGCCCTCAGAAAACCGCTTCCCTATGGCACCTTCTACAATGTTAGTGCTGGGAGGCATTTGTGTAGTGTTCTGGAAATAAAAATAATAAAGAACAACAATATAGTTGACTATTATTTGTCTGAGTGAGGGAAAGAACAATAAGGTATAAATTCAGACAAAAGCTATTACCAAAGTCATGGTATTTCTCTTTCATTTTAGAAGAGATTCAGACACTCACCCTTACACTTTGGTGTTTGATTTACTCTTCCCAGCTCTGGAACTGGCCCAAAGGTTACAAAACAGAGATATGTCTGGACTCTTGGTAGAAATGAGGCTCAACATTACCCCAAAATTTTCCACCTTATTCATCCTTTCAGAGAGATTTCACTTAATTACATTTTGATTATGCTCTTCACGTAAGAGATATTAACCTCTTATATCCCAATTTCCTTCTCTGCAAACTCTACAAATAACACTATACTTAGGATAATTAAAGGGCCTGGGCAAGGTTAATAAGAGATGTGGTGGGAAGGAGGAAGAGGGGACCCAAGGAATGACCCTAATGAACAGCTCTGCTAGAGAAGTGGAGGAGGAAGTGAGCTCTGGGACTGTCAACGCAGATGATGATAAATGATTCTAAACCACACATGGTCTCCTGGAAACCAGATGCCTTCCATTGTCTCTCAACTCACACTGATAAATGGCAAATGAACGTTTCTTTCTAATTATTCTGGAATGTCAGTTGTGACAGGGAAAATTAGCTTAGCTTTAAAAGTCAATTACACACAAATGTACCATGCAGATGTGAAGAGAGACTGACCCTGAGATGTGGTATCCAAGAAGCCAAGTGAATGAGTGAAGAAGGGTGAGCGTAGAAGCATCCTCACTGGTCACCACTAGCAATGACAAGTCCAGTTCCATGAACAGCAATCTGCTTCTTGACATAAGGAGTCAGTCATTTCTCTCCCTAGCCCAAACTTCATCCCTCCCTAGATTCAGTGCACAGGTTTCTAAATAGCACAAAACACTTCTTTCTATGATATGCATTCCCTCATTTCTATGAAGTCATGCACCTCCTCTTGTTTCTGTCTTCAGATTGTGCTGCTCTATGTTTCTACCCATGTGCTGGTGTCCCTCAGCATAGACAGATATCATGCCATTGTCTACCCTATGAAGTTCCTGCAAGGAGGTGAGTTGGCTCCACCAAGGGCTATCTTGTAAGGCTATCATCCTTGGGTGAGGGTAGGACTGTTTTCACTAATATTGTCCTCTTAATAATGGTTTTCTTCCTCCCACTCTCTTCTTCTTTACTTTCTTTCTACTTCATGGGTCTGATTGTCCAAAAAGATGTAGAAAAAGAAGCAGGATGCCTAGGAAAATGTGGATGGCACCCATGGATGGTCAAGAGTTCCTAGGGAAGGCAGTTTGCCGGACCCACTCTGTGGCCATTTACTTTGACCCTAATGCCTCTGGTTTTTTCCTTTAGAACACTGTTGACACATACACCTCTCTCAAGAAATGAATACTCCCACTTCAACTTGCTCATTTTCCAGAAACAAGCACCTTGCCTTCTTTACTTCCAAACCTTAGAGATAATTGGAAAGATGTTTTTAACTGACACTCATACTGGAAAGTAGTAAAATTCTCCTTGATCCAGTGATAGTGAGGAATCTCCGGAAGAAGAAAGCAGATGGGTCAGAGGAAAGGCTGAAACCACACAGCTTACAATACCCACAGACAACACTACAGTAATATGGGTGAAGTGTTAAGAGTGCTTCCTAAATAGATCATGTAAAGGCCCAGAGCAAGAAGGACTCGAGGAAATCAGCAGGGTGATTTCTGGAGCACAAAGAAGAGTGTTCATCACTGCATGTTTACTTTCCCTCTGTCCTCCCCCTTGCCAGATGGACAGCAAGGATAGAGGTCTCTTCCTCCTCGTAGTGGGAGTGCTGGATTTGGAGAGACAGGGTGGGGTCCTAGGAAGCAAAGACCCCTTGGAGGGATGGTGGGTACCTAGTCACAAGACTAATTGTCCATTACTCTGCCCATGGACAGAGCCAACTTTCCTCCATGACCCCTGAAAGCAAGTAAGAACCCAATGTTTGGTGATCTGTACCACAGTCTCCCAAGGAGACTGTGAAAACTTTTAAGATGAGGAACTGATACGAAATCTTGACTACAAAAATGGGGTGCAATCAAATATCATGGAAAATGGGACAAAAGCCAAACTGGAAAATAGATAACCCTTCAGAATACCATTCTGCGGCGTTTACAACTAAGAAAGCAAAATTAACAAGCAGAACTTTAGAATAAGTAGAATTAATGTCATCAGATCCTACTGAATATATCAGAGAATATTGGCACAGATCCTTTGAGTGGTAAGTTAACCACATCTAATTAAAATATAAAATGTGCAGTTCTTTGACCTTGAAATCCTACTTATTGGTATCTTCTCTGGACGAACACCCACATGTATGCATGTATGCACGTGTGTTCTTTATTGTAGCATTGCTTAGGATAGGAATTCCCTCAGTGGAGGAACGTAGACGTTTCAGTAGCTTAGATTTATTGATTGAGTGCTAGATGCCACTCATGATTATAAGTTCTTTAAGCATGCTAAGCATTTTAATTCTTACAACCTCTCTGTGAGATAGGTCTTATTCTTATCTGAATCTTATAGTTTGGACAATTACAGTTCAGAGAGTTAAAGTAACTTGCCCAAGATCACTCAGCTAGTAGGTGCAGGGCAAGATTTGAACCCAAGACGGTCTGGGTGTAGTTCAGGTATCTATGACTACAGCATATCCTGCCTCTCAGTGGGGAGGTGGGATAGCCATGGACAATAAAAAAAAGAAAAAGTAATAAACAATTGCTTGCAAAGACAGGCACCCACCAGTCCTCACTTCTGGGGATGGAATTTGGACTAGCCATAGTGATCACAGGGACTTACATACTAGAAGGTATACTGATGTGTTGTGCACAATTAAAACTAGTTTAAAAATAGAATTTACACCTGTTTTGTAGGCTTTTCTTAGGGTTGTTTTTGTTTGTTTGTTTTGATGTGTGTGTGTGTGTGTGTGTGTGTGTGTGTGTGTGTGTGTGTGAAGTATGTGACTTTCTGGGCATTTCCATTGCCCCAGTGATTATGATAAAGAAGGAAGCAAGGAGTGCGATGAAGGGAAATAGGAGAGACATTTTATGATCTTTACAAAAGTGTGATATACTTACTCATTCATCTATTTATTTATGCCCAGCAGGCCCCAGGAAGGATTGAGTGGGGACATACAAAAAAACGCATACACCGGAGTGTTTCAAGGTACAGAAATATGAGTGAAGGGAAATTAGGTATAAGGAAATGTGAGGGGTGTCCCGAGACATTTGCCAGAGGTGGAGGCTTAGGGAATCCATAGCCAAAAGGGAAACATGGTCAGTTAACCATCTCACCATATTCATTAGGTAAAAAAAATATATATATATGTATGTGTGTATATATATATATATATCTATCCCAACTATTTAGCTCATGGCAAATATGACTAGTTCTAGGAGACACTGAAATATTATGAATAGGGTCCTAAATTACAGAAAGGGCAGCAATGAATATTATAGTGTTCTTTTAAGGATGTAAAGCAATTTATTTCCTCATTACAAAATTAATAGAGGTTCGTTGGAGGGCACTTGCAAAATAATCATCTCCAATAGCTTTGGGGAAAGATGAAAACTTGGAAGGAGACATTAGCCATTTTCCTTTCCTCTCTGCCCAATCCCACTGAAGTCATGGAGGAAACCTAGAAATAAAGGAGATGTGCAGCTGGGTGGGAGCCAAGGAAAGAAGCTGTCCAAGTACCAGATCTTCACGGAATTCCCAGCACACAGGGAGCTGATGACACACGGAAGCCACACCCCCCAGGAAGGTGGCATGGCGGTGTAGGAGTTTTGGGGTGAGGTGGTAGGTAAGAACAGGGAACACTATACTAGAGTCACTCGGTGCTACAGCTCATCGGAATTTAAAGGCAGCCATGAGGGGCAGGGCTTAGGGTTCACGCAACTGAACAAAGAGGAGGCAGCAGAGATTCCCCACCAGGCAGCACAGCTTCTCTATGGAGAACTGAGCTGACAGAAGCCACACGAAGTTACTCGTGGCCAAGCAGACACAGGGCGATGGAGACTAAACCAACGGAAGGGGTGGGGCACATCTTACTGCTTGTTTACTGCTTTTTACTAAAGTGGTAGTTTCCTCAGCCAGCAACTCCAGAGAAGCTGACATTTTTAAGACTCTTTAGGATAAATAAATATGAGAATAATTAGGAAAACATCTATTCATAATGAAGAGAAATACGTAGTTCCAGGTACTAAAGCATAATATAAAACTTTGATAATTTAAGCAATATGATACTGAAACCAGAATAATGTACGTAAAGCATATGGAATATCGAATCAGTTAGGAAAGAAGGAATTAGTCAGTATAGGGCGTTAGTATAGCTGTCTAGCCCTTTACAAAATATTACATCTGCCATACTGCCGCAAGTAAATGCCAGCTGGATCGAAAAAGTAAAAACTTTAAATTTGAAAAGGTGTGGGTATGGGTAAAAGTTTTTATTTTTGTGAGGGAAAGATCTTTCTGAGAATAACACCAAAAGCAGAAACAATAAGGGAAATAAATATAGTTTAAACTACATCAAAACTTTAAAACTCTTCATACAAATAACAAACATTGTACACATACTTAAGCAAAATGACAAATAGAAAATATTTGTATACAACGGGCAAAGGGATAATATCCTTCTTCTAAAGAACTCTGGCAAAGAAATAAGAATGTACCAATTGAAAAACAGGCAAAGAACAGGAACAAGTTATTAAGAAACAAAGAAAAATGAACGGATGATATATGGAAATGTTCTTTTTGACCACTAATTGAAGAACTGCAAGATTAGACATTTGGATATAAAATCTTATCAATGAGATAGCAAGAGGAAGAGGAAGGATCCTCTCAGTGTTGGGAGAGTACAAAGAAATGGGCTTGTCTGTATACTTCTGGTGGGGGCCATAAGCTGTAGACACTTTTGGAAGAAATTTAATAATATTTGCCAAAATCTGTTTCTCAGAGTTTATCCTAAGGCAACAGCACTGTAAAGAGATACACATAAATTATTTGTAATAATTGGAAACAATTTAAGTAATAATAGGCTATCGATAAAATTGGAATTTAGTGTAACCATAGAAAAATATTTTCTATCAGTGCTTTTTAAATTACACTTCACACACTGGCCCTGGAGGACTCATTCTGTAGACCTGCTCCAGGACAGGTCTGGAAGCTTCTGGCTGTCACCCAGCCTCAACCTGAGCTACTCTGGCATTCTGCACTGGGCTCAAAGTACAATTATATTTGATGAAGGGCTTTTACTGCCTGAAAAAGTCTGAATGCCGCTTGCATAGACGCAGACATGAAAAGGTGTCATAAAATTTTTTGACAAAGACTTTCTTGACATAAAAAGGCAGTCATAAAAATTTTTTCCAGGGAAAAAATAAGGTTGAAAACCAGCATGTATATTATGTTCTCATTTTTTTTTAAGATTTTATTTATTTATTTGACAGAGAGACACACAGCGAGAGAAGGAACACAAGCAGGGGGAGTGGGAGAGGGAGAAGCAGGCCTCCCGCTGAGCAGGGAGCCCGATGCGGGGCTCGATCCCAGGGCCCCGGGATCACGACCCGAGCCGAAGGCAGACGCCTAACGACTGAGTCACCCAGGTGCCCCTATTATGTTCTCATTTTTATACGTGTAATCTATGTATTACATACAGATGCATTATCAAAATTTGGGCTGGCTATTTCTGGGTGGTGCCATCATGGACTCTTTTTCCTTCTTTTTGTTTATATTTCTGTAATTATCATGTGTAACTTTCATTATCAAAAACAAAAAAGGTATATGTGATGCATGAAAGAGAGCTAAGACAGAAGTACAGAAATGGCAAGAGCAAATGGAAGAGGAAGTCTTCCTTTCTACGGGTGGGGGACATGGGCCAGTTTGGAGCTAACAGGAGACCACCCACCTAATACTGAAACTGCATTTCATCTGTTCTGTCCCTGAGTGTTGAGCCCTGAGCAGTCACCCATGGCAGGCGGGCTTAACTGGCCAAAGGGCCAACAGTCTTGTCACCTCTGTGTTTGCGGGCCACACACCTGGTTGCGGAGGCACCTGAGACTGGGGATTTCTCCCAGTGCAGCCCAGCATCAGTATGAGAAAAGTAATTCCAAGCATCTGCCCTGGGTATACTTTGGGGAAACATTTTTAGTACCCTGGTAGGATTAATTCTTTCTCTTTAATATTTTTTTATTAACAATAAAATGTATATATAATGTATTGTTTGTTTCAGGGGTACAAGTCTGTGATTCATCAGTCTTACACAATTCAGAGCGCTCACCACAGCACATACCCTCCCCAAAGTCCATCACCCAGTCACCCCATCCTTCCCACACCCCTCCACTCCAGCAACCCTCGCAGAGTTTCATATTGTTTTAATCTGATTCTTTCCATGCCCATCTCTTTCAAAAGTGAATGTTTGTTAACCCATCCAGTGGAATCTGAGTGGGGCCCCGGAGTTGCAGATCACCCTTAAAAGTCCAGGCTCTAGGACCTACAGAGGGAGACAAAATTTGAATTTTAACCAGTGAAAGAAGGAGACCAGGCATGAGCAGGATCTGTAGAAACCCAGCACGCATCTCATCGCTGTGGTCGAGAGGAAACATCCTCAGTTGCTCTCTAAATGCCAGACTGCTCTGTGTTTGTTTCCTCTCCCAAACTCCCACGGCTTCTTTTCCACCCAAAACTTTCCTCTATTCCTTCAGGAAAAAACTCCCTTATATTCTCAACCACACGACGGTAGGTTCCCTCCCCCTCCTGCCTCCTGAGATCCCTGGTTCTCCTAACATCTCAGAAGAGGATGCTTCTCAGCCTTCCCTCTGAGAACTTCAAGGCCTGGGGGTGGTATAGACATTTTCCTACTTCCCTGGACCACTTCCAACCCATTTCTCCTCCATTATTGCCTGTGCGCTGATCTGTCCCTTTGACGCTCATGCTATCAAACTAGATAACCTTCTACAATGTTCCCTCTCTGGCCGACCACATGGCCATGCCCCTCACCCACTGGAAAGGTGGACACTGTTCTCAGTCTCTCTCTCACCCTTCATACTGTCCCCATCTTGGGTGACTTTGATGTCTACATGGACAAATCATCCAATTTCTCTTTCCTTTGAGCAGAAAAGCAAGCCAAGGTCCTCATCGTGATTGCCTGGAGCCTCTCTTTCCTTTTCTCCATTCCCGCCCTGATCATATTTGGGAAAAGGAAACTCTCTAACAGTGAAGTGCAGTGCTGGGCGCTATGGCCTGATGACTCCTACTGGACCCCGTACATGACCATCGTGGCCTTCCTGGTGTACTTCATCCCCCTGACAATCATCAGGTAAGAGGCCAACAGGCCAGACTCACACAGAGGCTTTCCTGGTTCACCAACTCCTGCTCTCCTCCCCTACAAGGCCCCTCATTGTTCCTGGTGTCCTTAAGGCAAGTGGCCAGACCGTAAGATTTCATCTAAAGCTACTATGTATTAAGCCCAACTTCTCCAAAGTAGAGTAAGGAGGAAGGAACTAACATTTTCTGAGCATGTGTTACGGAGCAGGCATTGTGCTAAGTGGCTAACAATGATCCCAGTAACCACGTTACAACTCTGTAAAATAACTACCGTTGTCCACATTTTATGTATGGTAAAACTCAGGTTCAGAGAGGTTAAGTAACCTGCCCAACATCACACAGGATTTAAACACAGGTTTTTCTGAGTTCATAGCCTGTTCTTTCTCCTTTTGCATGTAGTCTTTCAAATATAAGACATGGTACCAGTTTTAGAGATCTTATATTATAATTGAAATGATAGGCAAACTTGAAGCAAAACTGAGCAAAAAAGGCAATACACACACAAAAACATGCTAGAAAGTGCATGCAGTGAGGTCAGGTAATGGCAGGGAGCATTTCTGGGAAGCAACCATTGAAGGAGGGAAGAATTCAGGTAGGAGAAGGGAAAGGTGGGAAGGAAGCAGGTTTCTGGGTGACTGGGGGTCTGAGTAAGTGTGGCAACAGGGCAAGGACAGGCAGGCCATGCCAGTGGGTGAGGGAAGAAGTTGGCAATAAGCTCCTTCTGGTGGGGTGAGCCTTGATTATAAAGGGCCTTAACAACCAAGCCATAGGATGCTCCCTTTGTCCCACAGCCAATGGTGGCCACAGATGGTCTTTCAGCAGGAAGACCACAACTGCCCGGAAAGGCAGGGTCTCACTTGTCATGAGGCAGGATCTCCTCTGACAACATGGCTCCGCCTGGGTGGATGGGGTGGGTGGTTGAGGGAGATACTGGCGTGTTGAGTGTTTGCATGGCCAGGCTGATCCTGCCCCTTCGGAGTGTCCTCAAGCCGGCCATGGTGTGTCCCATAATTTGTCCCGGATGAAGGAACATCAGCCTTCGGTTTCAGATAGTATAAATAATGCTGTGATAAAAATCCTTGTGCTTAAATTTATTCATGAGTCTCTGATTATTCCTTCAGAACTCATTCTACTGGAATTGCTAGATCAAAGATGATGCTCATTTTAAAATTTTGATGCATATTCCTAAACCGCCCTACAGAAAAGGTGTATTCCTGCCAACAGCAGAAAAAGAGCTCTGAGTTTTCTTCCCCTGACCCAATGGAAGGTTTCTTTATGAAATCATTTCTTTATGAAATCTTTGCCAAACATAGAGGTTTCAAAAAAGTACCTCATTGTCTTCATGCACATTTTTTTAATTATGTGTTAAGTGTATTAAATATGTTTCAAGTATTTTTCTGACATTATGGGACTCCTGTGTTCTTGCTCTGTGTTCATCTTTAGTCTCATAAAATACCACAGCTGGAAAAATGTTATCCATCGCATAGGCCAGCCCCTGAATTTTTCACAAAAGTAGGCTTAGAGCTAAAAGGAGCAAAATGACTTGCTCTCCATCAGAGGTCGAGCTGGGCAGGAGAGGGATCCCATAGCGAGCCCAGCAGCCTTGCTGAGACTGTAGATTGTCAGTCCTCTCTGCTGACTTGACAAATTGATGTCTACATTATTTCCACGTACTGCCTCCTCTCCACCAAGCTTAATTTGGGAAGAATCCTGGAGAAAAGATGACGGTTATTTAGACAAGCAGTCAAAGGTAAGTCATAGCATCGTTGGAAGGGGCACGTGGAGGAGGAGGGTGGTTAGTCACAGGGGTGAGCATTTGGGGGGAAGCAGCTCCTGACGTCCTTCACAGGCAACTGACGCATCGATTTCAGTGGGCAGGGTTTGTCCTTGTTTTCTCCTGATTGATTTCCCATCAGCTCATGAAATCAGTCCAAACCCCTGCTCAGCAGGGTGAATGCAGTATGTCGACCCCATGGCTCCCTACGCGCTGTCTGGCCAGATCCGTCATGTGGCTCTTTCCCCGTCCATAATCTTCCCCCATCGATTCAAGCTGCTCCTTCCCATCAGGACCTCTCAGACTTGCCTACAGCCCAGCTTGTGCGTTCTTATAGTGCCCTTGGAAAAAGCCAAGTATAATATGACGATGAAAGGGATGATTTCAAAAGCTGCACTCAGCCTTCATCAAAGTACAGCCTTCTTAAATCCTGCCTGGAGTTCCTTGCTCCCAGCTGTGGTAGAATGAGGAAGATACAGAGTGACCTCCCCCCCACGCCACCCCCCACCGACCTCGAGCTTCCCTGAAGCGTTTCCTCTCTGTTCAGTCATGACCTTCACTCTTCTGTGGTAAGGCTCTTCCTGATGAAGAAAGAGCTCCTCTCTGGGGGGTATGGCATCCTCCAGCCCTCTCAGCTCCTCCTCCCTCTTGACCTAAGACCAGGCCCAGATGGAATCTTGTGAAGAATTTGTTTGCCAGCTAGCTCCTGGGATAAGTTGCTACAATTTCATATCTCTCAGAGTTAAAGTTCATCTTTTTTCTTTTCTTTCTTTCTTTCTTTTCTTAACCACATTTTGGACACTTGAAGTTGATTCTGTTGTTTATAGTTCTTTTAGGTAAAGTTAAACTCTTAATTCCAAGCTTAAGAAGACAACTCAGATTAGGTGTTCATTCACTTTATTAACTATGCCTCATGCCTCATTGTTCTTCAGGCATGAAACACACCTATATATATATATATATATATATATACATATATGTATATATCCTTACCAAACTGATAGGCAAAAAATACATATATAGTTGTTTTAATTTGTATTTTTTTCATTACAGATGAGGTTGAAAAAATTTAAGATGTGCATTATCATTTTTGTTTTTTAAATAAATTACTTATTCATATTCTTTTACCCATTTCTCTCAATTTTATTTTCTCTCTTCTTTATTTTTAAAGACAGTCTTTGTATAATAAACTTTTCCTCTTTCCATATGTTGAGGGTATTTCTCTAGTTTGTCATTTGCCATTTGAATATGGTTTTATTTTGCTTTTAGTTAATAAGACTGGCATAAATGTGAAAAGGGGAGACTGCATGAATACCAAAAAATAGAAATGAGAAAGTCAAATTCTTTAAAAAGTTAAAAGAATCATAGGAAAGCACTATGCAAAACTTTATATAAATGCATGTGGAAATATGAATGAAACGTACAAAGCTTCTCTATAATACACAGACCTTTCACATTGTAATGTATTCACATCTACTCATGCTTTTCTTTTTTTTTTTTTAAGATTTTATTTATTTATTCGACAGAGAGAGAGAAACAGTGAGAGAGGGAACACAAGCAGGGGAGAGTGCGAGAGGGAGAAACAGACTCCCCACCTAGGAGGGAGCCCAATGCAGGGCTCAATCCCAAGATGCAGGGCGCGATCCCAGGACCGCGAGATCATGACCTGAGCCAAAAGGAGACGCTTAACGACTAAGCTACCCAGGCGCCCCTACTCACGCTTTTCTTTACATTGCTGCCTTCCATTTCTTTCTTAGGAAATTGCCCCTTGCACATGCTTATTTCTACTTTAAGTTTTTATGATTTATTATTTTAGTTATTGGAAAATAATTTCAGTGTTGGGAGTACATTAAAAATCTCACTTTTTTAAAAAAGATTTATTTATTTGAGAGAGATGGAGAGAGCACAAGTGGGAGGGGTAGAGGGAGAGAAAATCCCAAACAGACTCTGCACCCCTAAAAATGTCACTTTATTTTTTTATTTTTAAAGATTTTATTTATTTATTTATTTATTTATTTGAGAGAGAGAGAGAAAGAGATCACAAGCAGGAAGAGCGGCAGGCAGAGAGAGGGAGAAGCAGGCTCCCCACTGAGCACGGAGCCTGACGTGGGGCTTGATCCCAGGACCCTGGGATCATGACCTGAGCTGAAGGCAGCCACTTAACCGACTGAGTCACCCAGGTGCCCCTAAAAATGTCACTGTAAAAACCATATTTGATTTGGGGTGACTGGGTGGCTCAGTCAGTTAAGGGTCTGACTCTTGGTCTGGCTCATGTCATGATCTCAGGGTCCTGGGATCGAGCCCTGCAACGGCTCCGCACTCAGCACTGCTCGGGATTCTCTCTCCCTCTCCCTCTAGCCCTCCTGTTCATGCTCTCTCTCTCTCAAATAAATAAATCTTTTTTAAAAAAGCATTTGATTCGATTTTCCAATTGCCCCAATACCATTTACTTTCGATGTTACATATGAATTCAAGATCTAACTTAAATCTGCTTTTCTAATGCCAGATCACTTGCCCCAACACCACTTACTGAATATTGAATAATCTATCTTTTCTACATGGTATGAAATGGCAATTCTATCATATGCATATTTATATTCTAAATACTCTCATTGTTTCTGAACTTGTTAGTCTCTTCATTTTGTTTTTATTTTCTTTTTTCTCTATCGTGAGACATACTCCTTATACAATAACCTTTTTCTTTTTTTATATGTTGCAAATATGTCCTTTGTTTGTCATTTGCTTCTTCATCTTGAATATGGTTTTATTTTCAGTTTATAGGGATTGCCATAATGAAGAAAGGAGAGAATACACAAATAAGTTACTGGCTTTTCTGCCACTAATACCACATTGTTTTGATTATTGTCACTTTATATACATGTCATATCCCATAAGACGATGTCTTGTCTTTCTCAAAGCTCCCCTAGCTATTTCAGGGGAGCTACTGATGCTCTCCCTTTCAGCTCTTACTCCAGGTATAACCAACAGGGATGCCCCTCACTCTTTTCACCCCTGTGCCTTTGTGCACATCATTCCTTATGCCTGAACACTCCTCCACACTCACCCTGCCTTGCTGCCCTGCTTCTGGCAACCCCGTTCACATTCTGCATGTCTCACCCCACATACCAACTCCACACAGAACGGCCACTGCTGGTCCTAGGCCAAGTAGTGCCTCGGGTGTTCACTCATGGCCTCCAAGCTCAGCTCATCCCTGTCAC